CCTGGGACCCCGGCCCTCGGCGTCCCGGCGCCTGGCGGGGCGCCCGGGGAAACTGAGGCCCGCCGAGGGCGCGCGCGCTGACACGGAGCCGGCAGCCGGGGAGGGAACGATGTTTCCAACCCAGGACCCGGGCGGGGACCCTCTACTCCGCCCCCCACCCGTCGCCCAAGTTCCTAGAAGGACAGAAGTGGGAGAGACTTAGAAATCACCTGTTCTTCCCTTTTTGACTTATGGGGAAACTGAGGCCTGGAGAGGGGCAGAGGCGTGGTCTGGGAGGGAGAGATCCCCAAACCCTAAGGTCAGCCCCTTCCCTACCCACGGTCCCAGCCAGAAGGTACTTGAAAACCACGCCCTGCTTTATTTCCTAAGGGGGAAACTGAGGCCCAGAGGGGGAAGGGGTGTGCCCGAGGGCGCACGGCGGAGACGCGGACCCAGGAGCGCCGGGCTGGGCTGCCTGGGTCTGGGAGGGGGAGGGGGACTCAGGGCGAAGCCGAGTCCCCGTCTGCTGCCTTTCTCTGGGCCTCAGTTTCCCAGCCTGGAGGGTCACGGGTTCCTCCGTTTCTGGGCAGCACTGTCCGGCATCAACCAGCTGAACTCTTGGGCCTCAGGCTCCCAGGCCCGCCGGCCCCGCCGGCCCCCCTCCAGGCCTCCTGGGTCGATTCCTTCTGCGCCGGGGATGGGATGCGCGGTCACCCAGGCCCCAGGCCCCCGGCCGCAGTCTCGGCCACCCCTCCCCCTCCCCCTCCCGGCTGGGCCGACTGCCGGGAAACAAAGGAGGGGCCGGGCGCGGGCAGGTGGGGAGGCGGGGCGAGGCCGGGAGTCGGATCAATAAATCAGAGAAATGAGATCACCGCGCCCGGGGGAGGGGGAAGGGGAGGAGGGGGAGGGGGAGGAGCGGGAGGGGGAGGAGGCCGCGGCGGGAGGCGCGCGCGGCCGCGATTGGCCGGCGGTGGGGGCGGGGGGTCGGCGATGCTGCCCGAGGCCGAAGCGTGAGGCCGAAGCGTCACACCACGTCACATTGTGCTGCGGTCCCGCGGTGAGCCGGGGGGTGTGGAGGGCGTGGCTTCGGGCCAGTGTAGGCGCGGCGTTTGCCAAGCCCGGAGCCCCCGTCTGCACTTGTGTGTCCCTGTGTGTCTGTGTGGTCCACACCCGTGCGGACTGTGTGAGGGGTGGGTTGTAGTATATTGCGTGCAGACGTAAACATGTATGTGTGCATGTGTAGGAGTCCTGGTGTGTGTCCAGGGGTGTGTGTGGGGGGGTGTACGGGTCCTGGTGTGTGTCCAGGTGTGTGTGTGTGTGTACGGGTCCTGGTGTGTGTCCAGGTGTGTGTGTGTGTGTATGGGTCCTGGTGTGCATCCAGGTGTGTGTGTGTGTATGGGTCCTGGTGTGCATCCAGGTGTGTGTGTGTGTGTACAGGTCCTGGTGTGCATCCAGGTGTGTGTGTGTGGGTCCTGGTGTGCATCCAGGTGTGTGTGTGTGTGTATGGGTCTTGGTGTGTGTCCAGGTGTGTGTGTGTGTGTGTGTAGGGTCCTGCTGTGTCCCCCTAGTCTGTAAGGGGTGTGTGTTCAGGTTCAGCACCCCCAGGCTGAGGGAGGGGACAGAGTAAGGAGAGGGCTGACACCCACCCCAGGACCCTCTGCGTGCTGCCTGTGGTGACACCCGGGTCCCTCTCCCCCAGAGACAGGTGGCAGTCCATCCCTCCCGAGCTCCTGGGTCAGAGGTCTAAGGCCTGGGCCCAGGTGTCGTCACACAGAGGACTCGGTCACATGGCACCGTCCGTGTGTCTCCTTCCTGTCCCTGGGAAAGAAGGGCAGAAACAGACCCCAGGGGCCGGGATTCAGATCCTGGCGTCAGATGGATGCAGGGCTCACAGCGGGCTGTCCTCAGACCAATGTCCGTCTCTCTGACCCCATTTCCTCAGTGAGCATCACCTGCCTCCTGAGCTGCTGTGAAGCTTGATGATCATTATCAATATCTAGAACATGGTGTGCGCCTACTGATGGCAGATTAGAACACATCAAACTCCTACACATCCTTCAAAACTCAGCTTCAATGTCCCCTCTTCCAAGAAACCTATCCGGCTCCCCCGACTCAGAGCCCTGGCCCCACTTCTGGCCTCCCCCAGCTCTCGATCCCTCCTCTGGGCCCATCCAGACCCCCAGGGGCCGCAGAAGTGGGGTCTGGATCCTGAGAGCAGTGTTCAGATCTCCATGTGACGTGAACAGAAAGTGGGTTAAAAGCACGCGTGTGTGTGATGGTGACAGCTCTTGGTGCCACACAGAGATTTATTGGCAAGCAGTTAGAGGAGGCGGGGAGGGGGGCATCGGGGCAGCTTCCAGCCTGATTTAGGGCTGGGCCCGGGCGGGCAGCCGTGCTCCAGGAGAAGCAAGGATGAGCCCAAGTTTGGCAGAAACCCGAACCGTGTCGGGGACCCAGGCCCTGGCGGGGCGGACGCCGAGTTCCAGGACACAGGAAGCTCCATGTCCGGTCAGCCGCAGTGGGAGGGCCAAGGGTGTCCCTTTCTCCACCTGGCCTGGCGTGACCAGGACAGAAGAAACTGGGGCACTGGGAAGAGGCTCCCTGCCCGGGGCCACGGGGTCACAGCCCCCAGGGACTGGGGGGAGCAGGCAGCCCAGAAGGACCTCAGACAGCTCAGAAGAGGAGAAGGAGGCACCCCCCAGGAGGGGCCGCCCGCACCCCACTTCGCAGCTAGGAACCCGGGGCTCGGCCTGGGCGTCAGGGCGTGGTGTCAGCCGCCACGGTGGCGGCCCGTCGGGAGCGGCGGACGCCCATGGTGAACGCCGGGGCCCTGGCTTTGGTAACAGTGACATGCTCGGGGCTGTGGGTGCCCGGGCCGGGCGTCTCGTCCGGGGGGCGCGGGGCCCGGGGCCGCCCCAGCATGGTGAAGGCGGGCCGGCGTGGACGGTAGGCATTGGGGTCCGGGCTGTCATAATGGCCCGGGCCCGGTATCTCGGCGGGGTCCTGCGGGGGGCGGGCGGGGGGCGTGCGGCCCACCACGGAGTAGCTGGGGCTCCTCGGCTTGGTGAAGATCTGGGAACCCCAGAGGGAGGGCAGGGTGTAGGTGTTGGGGGCGGGGGCTGAGGTGTCCAGGGGCTGCGGGTGCAGACGCCCGCCCAGGGTGAACGCTGGGGGCGTCCGTTGGCGCACAGGGGCCACCTTCTCTGGGCTGTAGGCCCCGGGGCCCGGCGTCACCTCCAGACCTGTGAGGACGGGGCAGGAGGGTTGGGATGGACAGAGTCCCACCTGCCCTTGGCCCACAAGGTTCCTGGAGGTCAGACCACTCCGCGAGCAGCCCCTTCCCCGACCTCCCAGCACAGTCTGCTCTCTTTCAAGCCCCCAGGCCTTGGCCCAGGCTCAGCCCTCTGCCAAGCATGCCTTCCACTTCCATTCCCGCCTTCCACCGCACTCTTCATGGCAGCCTCCAAGTCACCTCCCTACTGCCTTCCCCACACCCTCCTCCTAGGCAGAGCCCTCACAGCCCTGCCCAGGATCCCCGGCCTGGGTCTTCCCCTCTCTCCAGACATGGCCACGCTGAGGGGGGATGGTCCCCCCCTGGGTCTAACTCCACAGCAGACTGGGGTCTCATAAAAAGCAAAGACATGTCGAATCTACTTCAATTCCCCAGCAGTTGGCCTCACGCGTGTTTGAGTGGATGGGTGAGTAGAAGGATGGGTGGTGAGTGGTTGGATGAGGAGTGAATGAGTAGATGAATGGATCCATGGATATGTAGGGGGATCATGATGAGTCATGGATGATGGATCATGGATGGATGGATGGATCAGGGATGGATGGATAGATGATGGATCATGGATGGATGGATGGATGGATGATAGATCAGGGATGGATGGATGGATGGATGGATGATGGATCAGGGATGGATGGGTGGGTGGATGGATGGTGGGTGGGTGGATGGATGGATCGGTGGATGGGTGGATGGATGGATGGATGATGGATGATGGATGATGGATGGATGGATGGATGATGGATGATGGATGGGTGGATGGATGGATTGATGGATCAGGGATGGATGGGTGGGTGGATGGGTGGGTGGATGGGTGGATGGATGGATGGGTGGATGGGTGGATGGGTGGATGGATGGATCAGGGATGGATGGGTGGGTGGATGGGTGGGTGGATCAGTGGATGGATGGATGGATGGGTAGATGGATGGATGGTTGGATGATGGATGGGTGGATGGATGGATGATGGATGGGTGGATGGATAGAAGGATGGATGATGGATCAATGGATCAGTGGCTGGATAGATGGATGGGTCCATGGGTGGATGGATGGATGATGGATGGGTGGGTGGGTGAGTGGGTGGTTGATGGATGGGTGGATGGTTGGATGGATGGATCAGTGGATGGATGGGTGGATGGATCGGTGGATGGATGGATCGATGGATGGGTGGGTGGATGGATGGATGATGGATGGGTGGGTGGATGGATGGAGGATGGATGGGTGGATGGGTGGATGATGCATGGATGAGCTGATGGGTCAGTGGGTGGATGAGTAGATGGGTGATGGGTCAATAGATGAAAGGGTGGGTGACTGGGAGACCGCAATCAGGTAATTGAATCAGGTGCTTTGTGTGAAAGTGAGCTGGTGGAGCCCGTGACGGGGACTGCTATGTTTGCACAGTGCCCCCTGCACCCCGCTGCCACAGTGGGTCGCCACGCATGCAGAGTCTCCCTGGCCTGCCTCACTCACTCAGGCTCTCTCACCGTCCCGGCCCCTCCTCTGAATCCCGTGGATTTCATCGGTCCAGAGACCCTGAGGTTCTAAGAACTCGGGGACGGGAGAGTCGCTGAAAGGGCAGGGTCCCATGGGCAGCGCGGGTCACTCACCCCGAGACTTGCCCCGGCCCTGCATGGAGAACGCAGGGGTGCAGCTTCGGCCAAACCGGGTGACGCTCGGGTCCAGGAAGTAGATGGGCCCGGGGCTGGTGTCCTGCGGAGATGCTGGGAGAGCAGCCCGCTCATTACCCTTGGGTGGCCTGGGCACCTCCACCCTCCGGCCACCCCCAGCTGCGACCTCAGACCACGGAGGTGGGGTAGCCCTGCCCCGGGGCCCCGGGTCTCTGCTTGGACGGTGCCCTTGTGACCAAAGCCGTCCCAGCCCTCAGCCTCTCCTCGCCGCGGACCAGGGACCAGGGTGGGGGTATGGTTAGGACTGTACAGGATTCTGTTCTGACTAGGCTCTGAGTGGTGTCTGGGGGTCCCCCTCTGTGCTTGGGCGGGTGGCACATGACATGCTGAGGGGAGGGGCTCTAAGGAGGCCTCTGCGCAGTGTCCTGGGCACCTGTCCATTACTGTGACGGCCGTCACCACTATTGTTAAGTGGGTGCGTCTCTGTATAGAAGATTTGGCAAGGATTAATCGGTTTACATCCTCTGTGTATGTGCACACACGTGACACCGTGCACGCACGTTCGTGACAAATGAGTGTGGCCCAACTCAGGCCGTTTCCCACCTCGAGGCCTTTTCCTATGCTGCAACCTCTACTGGAGTCCCCTTCTTCTCCTGGGGGCTCCACCGAACTCCTACTCATCCTACAAAGCCCAGATCCCATGCCTCCACATCCAAGAGGTCCTCCCTGGACATTCAGCAATGTCTACACTGACCTCCACCCCCCGACTCCCCAGCATGTCTGTCCCTCTGTCCCAGGATGTATCCTGTGACAGCATTGGGACCTGGGATCCCAGCTGGCTCTGGGCCACCAGCTAAGTTCACAACCTCTCCTAGGGCAGACGCGAGGCTGAGCCCTCATTACCTTCCAGGGCCCCTGCAGCTTCCCGAGTTCGTTTCAGCTTCTTTTGGGCCTGAAGGCTGAGAAGAGGCTGCTGTCCCAGCCACCCTCTCCCAACGAGCCTCGGTCTGCGTGGATCAGACTCCCCACACAGGACCCGTCCCCACCCCAGCCCCCGTGGCACCTCAGAGCAGCTCCGGAAAACGGGGAGGTGGGATTTGCAGGCACCAATGTGCAGGGCACAGGCCTGCCGGAACATGGAGGGAACACCACGAACAGGGATGGATGGCATGCTGTGGCAGGGCCGCCGTGTCGGCCTCATCCCTGCATCCGATGCCCGCTCCCACCCCACTGCCCCCACGCTGGGCCGAGAAAAGTGGACGTCAGAGAGGCAGGTCACCTGCTGACCTGCCAGGCCCCTGCCTGTCCGAACCACAAAGAATTCTCATACCACCCTCGCCACCACACACTCCTCCCTCCATTCTCTCCCTCAATAAGAAAACATAGGACCAGAGAGGCACAGCATCTTCTCCGAGGTCACACAGCAAGCCAGGGTTCGGGCAGCCCTCCCAGCTTCCTGCCGCACTCAGTGGGGGCCTGGAGCTAGCGGAGGGAGGGAACGCTCCCCAGGGGATACCGGAAGCTGGGGAGGCCCCCGTCCCACCACCCTCATTCCCCCACCCCCCACCTTACCCTCGCTGGGCCTCGGGAAGAGCGAGTAGGCAGGACCAGCCACCTTGGTGCAGTCGTGGTTGGTGTAGCCAACAGTGGACGGCAGGACGTACAAGTCGGGCCCGGAGCCTGTGACCAGAGCCCTGGGTCAGGGCCTGAGAGGGGGGGATCCCGGGGCCCAGCCCCTGAGCCGCCCCCTGGCCCCCAACCACAGTCCAGTGCAGGGGGTGGGGGGCTGCCTCTGTGCAGGGGGCAAAGGGTGTGACACGGGCATTGTGAGTCACAGGTGAGGGGCTGCAGGGCCAGACACAGACACGCTGTCCTAGGAGGGGAAACCAAGGCCCGGACACGGACACGCCGTCCCGGGAAGGGAAACTGAGGCCCGGACACAGACACGCAGCCCCAGGAGGGGAAAGTGAGGCCCAGACACAGACACGCTGTCGTGGGACAATGTCTGATGAACTCTGCAAAGAGGTCAGGGCCACAAGGGCCACAGAACGTGACTGCAGCTGCTCTGTGACAGATGGAGACGCTGAGGCAGGGCCTGGCCCTCAGCGAGGTCCCACAGTTAACATCAGAGTCAGGATGTTGGCCCCCCGGCCGCCGCAGTGTCCCCTGTCCACACAGGCTCCCTCTCTCTCCTGCTCCTGTATCTTCTCCAAGGCTCTTATCTCCGATAAGACCCTACAAACCTCATGTCTGTCTCCCCCCCGGGACCCTCATCCTCTGCTGAACCCTCAGCCCTGGAAAGGTGCCGGCCCGTAAACGCTCAGGTCCTCTTGGGGGGAGGCACCCACAAGAGCCAGCAGAAATGCCCTGTTCACGCCTCTCCTCCCGGATGGGAAACTGAGGCCTGATGAAGGGCAGGGACTCCTCAGAGGCTGCTGCCTCCGCTGGGCTCCCGAAACATGCCAGAAGCCCCGGAGATTGGGAGGATGGAGCAGGAAATGTCCCCCCGCCATGGCCCCTGCCCCACCGCCGGCGCGTACCGTTCTCCATGGTGGCCGTCCGGCAGGACTTCCTCTGGCCAGTCTCTGGGATCTG